TGACCAGCACAATGAAGGCCACTTAAAAAAGAGGGTATTTAAATGGTCTTACAGTTCCTGAGAGTTTAGAGCCCACGATGGCAGAGCAAAGGCGTGGCAGCCGGAATGGCTGAGCTCGCATCTCAGACCACAGGGAGGAGGCAGAGAGCACACTAGGAACGACATGTGTCTTTAGAAACCTCGAAGGTGGCAACCAGTGAGTGATGGACCTCCTCCAATAAGGCCACACCTCCTAATCCTTTCCAAACAGTTCCACCAACTGGGGACCAAGCATTCAAATGTATGAGCCTATGGGAGTCATTCTCATCCAAGCCACCATGGGGAGCCACAGTTCAAGACAACCCTTTCCATGTTGTGTGTGTATGCTGGGGAGGGGCATTCCAAAGTACACACCTACTCGATGCTACGTTGGGATGGATCCTGTTTTCTCTGATGGGGGGAACTGATCCCCAAGCTGTGCTGAAACAGCTTACAAACTGATCAGCAAGGCTGAAATCATCCAGTTACATAACTAAAGCAGAATTGAAGTCAGCCATGATGTCTTTTCCTTTCTCCACATGCACCGTGTTTGCTCAAATAATCTGGATTATTACCTAGACTCTACTCCACAGGCAGTCTCCTCTTCCTTTTCACCAAAGCAGAGTTGCTTCTCACTAATTTTCTTTTCAATGAACCAAAGGAGAAACCCTATAGCCATTTCCCCACTAGGGATCCAGTACTGGAATTTTCATTGCCAGTGGCTTATGACTTCTTTCCCCATTCTTTGGAGTTTGCAGAGCTGCCCAACACAGGACTCCTAGAGTCGCGTGCCTCCAGGATAGCTATGAATGTGACCTAACACAAACTTACTTGGAACATGGAGGGATAGTTTTTGCAAGGATTTCAGTAGACTGATTGTGTGGTTCTTAGATATAAAACTCTGTAGATGGTGTCATGCTATAAATACATGCAAAATACACCTATGTGTGATCTGGCAACCACTGACCATGGGTTGGGCATTCTTATATTTAATGTGTAGCCTAGGGAAGCCCAAAGCTTGAACAGTTATGCTTTAAGAGTTTTGGGGGTTTTTTGCTTTGTTTTGCTTTGTTTTTTTGATTGCGTGTTTGTTTCTTAGTTGAGTGTAGTGATATTTTCATTCATTCCAAGCAGCTCTCTATGAATTCAAGGACAGTCTGGTCTATTTATCTAGTTATAGTCCAGTCAGGATACATAATGACACCCAAGTGCACACATGCGTGTGTGTGTGTGTGTGTGTGTGTGTGTGTGTGTGTGTGTGTGAGAGAGAGAGAGAGAGAGAGAGAGAGAGAGAGATTCAGAGATACAGAACAAGGTACCCGAGTGTGCTAAGCACTCAACACAACACAGCGTCTGTAGTTCAAGCTACTCCTGACATCTGCAGTGACCATTTCAAAGTATCAGATGATGGTCTGAGGACCTCAGCTCCATTTAAGAAACCCAGTGACTCGTGTCCTCCACCACTGTCTCCTCCGGACTGTCGTGTCTGCCCTACAGAAGGTGCTTAGTATGTGTTTGTGAATGAAACACAAAGGTGAAAACTTCAAGCTGACAGTCCATGGACGAGTCTTCGGCAGGTGTCCCAAATGGGCTGTCCCAGGCACAGTTACTCCCTTCTGTTCTATAAGTGCTCAAGAGACAGAACTTGGGGGTCGCCCACAGAGCTGAGTGAAGCACCAGAGATGGTCAGATGGGATTGCTTCACCTTCTGCTTTAAAAGCTCACATCTTTTATTATATAAGGATATAAGTATGTATGTATGTATGTAGGGGTGCAGTCTGATCAAAACACCCGTAATCTTGCTACCAAATGATAACATGGCTAACACGGTGTTACCTTCTGGGCTTCATTTCACAGGCAAACAATGCTTTAATTAGTTGGAGATTATGTGACTCTCTGATCATAACTCACGTTAATTAACTAGATGTGTAACTTGTGGCAGACCCTATGCCAAATACCTTACAGGCATCTGAGTCACCTAAAACCCAATAAGGTAGATTTTCTCAGGACAGAGACAGGTACTGGGGGTTGAGGAAACCAAGTAACATCCTTAGGTCAGAGAGTAGTGATGGCAGAACCAGGCTTCAGTTTCAGCCACCTGACTCCAGAACCTGGTGGGGCTCCCACAGACGTATGCAGAACGCTGCACTGAATGAGACTGTGCGCTCAGACACCACCCTAGGGAAAGCTAAGTCACGACATGTCTGCTGGCCAGCTGGATGGCTGGCGTCTTAGAAACTCTCTGGGTTTGTCATCGGATCTTCAGGGGTCACTAACGCTGGCTCCTACTTCTCACAGTCCTTGGCGACGTCTTCCTCAAGGGGGAGCCTAAAGCCCCTCTCTCCATGCAGACACCCATGGTCTCCTCCTACTGCTGGCAGAGACTGCGCCGGTCTCACACACCGGACGCTACTGCTCTGCCACTGAGTCAGGTCTGAAGGTGACAGAGCCACCTCTGCTGTTGGCACAGGTGCTGTGAGTGCCGGTACCATAGCCACCACACAAGGGTCACCGACACTGCCAATGCCGAATTCACCACTGCTGTCGCCAGGTGGGGAGAAGAAGCATGCTTTTTGTGGACTGTGCACTTGGATCCCACTGACTTTTAGGCAAAGGGAGAGCAGATCTCTCTCAGTATCTAGGAAAATTCGTTCTAGGAACCCCCCAGGTACCAACATTTATAGACGTTCAAGTCTCTGATATAAGATGGAATAGTCCTTGAATAGAACCCGCCAGTTTGAATATCTCAAGTCACCTCTAGATTATGTATAGAATCGAATACAACACTGATGTACTGGGATGGCTCCCACACCACTGTGTTTAGGGACAATGACAAGAATAGTGAGTCTGTACATGTTGGGGATACATACATTTAGTCTCCACACATACTTGGTTAAATCCATAAAGATGGAATCAGAGGATTCAAAGGGTCAACTGCCCTCGAGGTTACCCCTCTCTCTGAACCACCTCAGAATTTTTGTCAGAGAGATTACTTAGTCCCTCAACCAAACAGATCCTTGAAGAACTCAACTTACTTCCAAGATATCTCAGCATCTTCCAGGACTGACAGGAGAAGCCACATAGGCCCCTATTGGGCTGGATGGCAAGTACTTTCACCCACTGAACCATTTCACTGAGTACCCAGTACCTTGTGCTGCATGGGTTGGACGAGACAGATGTATTCATGTTAAAGTTTCCGTGGACTGCATTGCAATCCAGGAGGCACAAGGAGCGCCAGTCCACAATGAAAATGTGGGGCTCCGCATGCAAGGCGTTAAGAATTCCATGGGACGAAGACTGAGATCAGCTCAGTGGCAGAATGAGTGTCCCAGCATGCACAAGGCCCCGAGTTCAAAAACTGTGTGTGGGGGTTGAGGAGAAGTTCAAGATGAAAACAGCACAATCCAAATAAATCATATGCAGAGCCTTGTATGACAGCTACACATCCGAGTCATTCCCGCAGCCTTGTATGACAGCTACACATCCGAGCCATTCCTGCAGCAAGGATGTTAGGAAAGCCATTTTTATGTGTAAGCAAGAATTCTGGTTTCTAAATATTTGCAAGTATTGACAAACCCAAATACCAAACATCACAGAAAGATATGCCATTGTGATGGAAGCACAGTTAACTCAGCTCTGTAGTCTGACGACAATGCAGGGGGTGGGGGGGAACCAGTGTTTTTATGTTTTCATCAGATCGCCACACCCTGCTGGAGTTCTGTCTCTCAGAGAGACGCACAGGAGGGGCAGCAAGTTGGACACGGTGCAGCATAGCATGGTGGGTAGTGAAGCACTGTGGGTGGATGGCACACACTGGTGGTCCCTACCCCAGAGGTATCATGAGGCAAGAGACGAAAGAAGAGAAATGAAGGGTCTGTTGCCATGAAACTGGCTGTCACCAACTCTCCCAGGCCACTGTTGTCTTGCTAGCGAAGCATTGGTTTGGGCTAAGGTGGTCCTTCGCCCTGGGTCATCATTAGCCTGGCCCTTCCCATACAGCACCCCTGTTTTCATCTTTGCTGTTGTGATGAAACACCCTGACCAAAAGGAACTTGGGGAAAGATAAGATTCTTCTTATCTTATTTCTTAGTACCGCTTATGGGTCACAGTCCCTCACTGAGAAGATTGAGGGCAGAAACCCAAGCAGGCACTCGAGGCCCAAACCATGGAGGAAGGCTGCTTGCTGGATCAACCAAATTCACACTTGATAAGCTTCCTAAGATAGTCCAGCACTGACTGTCCAGGGGTTGGTGCCACCCAGTGCCATGAGCAGTCCTATTATCAGAGAACAATCAAGATAACCCCCAACAGACATGCCCAGGGCCAAATCTGATCTGGGCGGTCCTTCAGTTGAATTCTTCAATTCCCAGGGGACAGCGGCCTCCCACTGAAGGGTACAACTTGACTCACCATTAATCAACAGTTCAAGGGCTCAAAGGAGGATGGAAAATGCTGGAAGAGTTGGGTTTGTCTTCTCTCCACCTCGAATGATGTGGAGAGGAAAGTGGGGAATGACATGCTCCCTGAGCCGTCCCCCATCTAGTGGGCCTTCTCATCGAAACATGGCAAAATCACCTGGGCACACAAGGGAGAGTTTGTTGCCATGTCTCAAAGAATGCACGAACCAAGATGCAGGTGGTACCATTCAATCCTCAGGGCAGCGAGCTAAATGCAGAATTCAAAGTCAATGAGACCACATACCATGTTTATATGCTTCCAGACTGCAATGGGTCCCCTCTTCCACTCCAGCTAGAGGTGCATGGCATGTTGACATACATATGCATGTATGTGTACATACTGGCATATATAACATGAATGTGTGCATATATATGAAATATGCATGTAAGTGTATACATACATATATTAAACACAGACATAAACACAAACAGGCAAGAAGAAAGAATATACACATGCATATGCATATGCATAAACACTTAGCATAATTCAGCTTTATTAAAGTCAACCAACAGGAAGAGTCTTTGCTGTATTTCGGTCCTTGGCTTGGCACAAGAACACACGGTTAAATGAGTGTCACCAGTTCAGAGGAACTCACCATTCCGAGAGGACACAAACTGAAAACCCAAATGCCCCTGTCAGTCAGTATGGTGGGTATTAACAAGAGGACATCTAAACTTAGAGCAGTCAAGACGAACTTGACCCGTGCTAGATGGGCTCAGGTCTCAACGGCACTGCTTGGAAACCATGTGATACCCAGCATGCATCTTGAGCTGCAGAACCCTTGTTATTAAGTTGACTATCTACAGCAGTACCTTCTTCTCAGGGTGCCAAGCTTCCATGACGTAACACTGAAAGCCCTTATGCTTCTGGGTCCCCAGAAGGCACTCAGTAAAGTGAGCTGTCATTCCCATGGCTCATTATTAATTCTCATTATTGAGAAGAACATGAAATTGGAGTGGGCACAAAAGATGGAAGGCCCGTCGAGCTTGAGGGGCCCTGCGGGAGCTCTGTGGATGCTGTGTAGAGCTGAATCTTTCTAGGAACGGGTGCCTGTGAGAAGACCAAGGAGAGGAAGGGCAAGCCGTCCAACTGGGAACCAGTTTGTTCAAAGGCCCGGGTGTGTGTGCATGTGTGAAATATCCCATCAGGTACAGAGAACCACATACCCAGAGTAAGAGTTCTAGGCCAAAGAAGAACTAGGGTCAGATCTGGAGAAGATGCTCAAGAACTCAACGACACAATACCACATATCGGAGCCGTCTTTCAGAGAGGTCACGCAAAATTAACTGGACACGACTTTCCCTTTCCAGGGTCATCGTGGTGGTGACCAGCTCCTGCAGATTCCACTGTTGCCATCAATGATCCTCACCCTGCATTACCAAAGGTGTCTTGTTTGTTTTAGTCTTTGTAACTAATCAGCCAATCTGACTTAGGTTTTCTTTACCACTAATCCCTCCCCAATGATTTTTAAACACCTATCCTCCTAACCACAAGGAGACTCTGAAGTGGCCACGGTTTTCTGCACTCACAAGACTACACAGCAATGGCTTGCCCTCCGAGGAGCCTACTGCAATGGCAGCTTCGAAGGTCAAGACTCTCCGAAACGGAGATGGGTGGGGGAGGCAGAGCCCAGAAGGGGCTCAGAACTGTTCTCGGGAGCTGATGTCACACATCCTGGGCAAAAAGCACTAGGAGATAAATAACAGCACCAGGAACTGGAAAGGAGGAGAAAGAGATTCACTGTGGCATGATGGGGGTGAGGAGGAACCAGCCTAAGACAAGACCCACAGGCCTTCCTGTTGGTTCTCTTTACTCAAGTGCACCCTGAGTACCTCCTGTGCCAGGCTCCAAAGAGGCATGGCTCAGAGAGTATCCAGTCTCTGTCTCCACTGAGCAGGTTCATTGACTAGAGACAACAGCTCACTGCCATAGAAGGACACATAATCTCCAGTCATGGAGGAGTTGGGGAGGCAGGGAGAGAATTCTGTCGCTGGTATTGAGCACCCGGTCCTCTGTGCTGAGTGTTGGCCTAGATGTGCTCCGTGTGCCATCCTGTTTAGCCTTTGTAACCCTCCTCTGACAAAAACCATCAGGCATAGATAATCTATTTTTCAGGCCTCGATTCTCACTATTCAGAATGAGAGAAAACAGAAGTCACAGCTAGGAAGGGGAGGGCAAGCAATGGAAGCTGAAGCCCTAGAGTCGCAGACACCACCCCTCAGACACTCCTTACCTCTTCAGACCTCTGGATTTTGTCTTGGGTTTTCATTAAGCACTGATTTTTCCAGATCAGTTTCCCCCATAACACGGCACTGTCCCCAAGTGCCCATGTGTTATCCTGCTGTCATGCCACAGACCCAATAATGCACGGTTTGTGCACGTGAGCTCATGTGTTCTCACGTGTTTCTGTGTTTAATTCACACCCAGCCAGGGAGGACAGCGCAGACTCAGAGGCAGGACCCAGGCGCCCTGCTACTGCTGAAGGATCATCTCTGTGGGCGGCTGCAGTCAGGGGTACCCAGCACCAAGGTCGTGTAGCTTGTTTTGCTATGAAAGCAAAGCAAAACAAAACACCAAGGTTATAGTATCAGCCTACGAGTTTGTGTTTACTTTAGGAGCAACCGGGAAATTTGGAAATTATGCCGGGAACAGTGCTGGCAAGCACAGAAAAAATAAATAGCAGCTTCTAAACCTTTTCAACTTTGTGCCTCAAACCGAGAAATAACTGAGCAGACACCTACTGTGTAGCAGGAACAATCCAGTGCCCTGAACCCAGGAAAAATTCCCACCTGTCTTTTCCACGGTGCTGGAGCAGTTTTATTGGTGGTGATTTTTAACCCTTGGATGACCACGCGGGGTTTTCTGGGATAAACCTCTGGTTTTGTTTTCTTCTCACTGTTGTTTGCTAAGCCGCAAGTTATTCTTCTTATCCTTTTCCCCGAGTTTTCGGGAGGGGGAGAAAACCCAGCATCTGGGTCTGGGACCACTTAAAAAGTCTGGGCAGGGACAGCTAACGACCTCCCAGAGATAATCCAAATGGTTGATTTGGCAAAGCCCATTCTTGACCTTGACACAAGACAAGACAGGCAAAGGGGAAGGACTTGGGAGGGCAGAGTGAAAGAAAAAGGATCCTAGGAGCTGGCTCAGATCTCTCCAGGCCCCTCCCCCATTCAGCCAACACCTGGCTGAGTTGGAAAACATGACCGGCCCAACCTTCCTACTGGCAGCAATTGAGGCTGTCAGCTCCTGCTTGTCACCAGTTCCACTGGAAGGCCTGGGGCAGACACAAGAGCCCTAATTAGGCAGAAATGACACTCTACAGCTGACCTGCCCGGACCTTTGGCGGACCATTTAACATCATTAGTTAACATTTTTAAAAAGTGTGAATGTAAATGAACAGCCAGTGGCTTTCAGTGGAGTTTGTCGGTGGCATCTCCCCCTCCGGGCTCACCCTTTTTTCTCTTTTTGCATGAATAGCCCACTTGTTTTCTCCGGAATTGGAGGGAGGCATGAGGAAGGAGGGGGTAAGAATACCATCCTCTAAGGAGACAGACAGACGTGTTAAAGCATAAACAAGCTTGGAATACCAGAAAGGCCGGCTCTTCTTGCCCGCATATGGCAGGGCATGCAGCTGATCTCCTGGGGCCACCGGCGCAGAACTAGGAGACAGAGAGAGCCACGGGGCCAACAGATGCCAGGCCCCACTCCACATGCCATCCACAGTCCCTATGAAACACTCTTTCAAACCCCTTCCCATGGTCCAGCTGTGCCTTCTGTGAAAGCTGATGTCGCTGGCGTGTGTGCCTATGTGTAGATGCACCCGTTCCCAATGTGCCTGGTTCCCCTGAAGAGCGACCCTTTCAGATGCCTGGTCCAATACTCACAGGAGAGTTCATTTCCTACCTGCTGTGGTTACTTCTCGACTTGACTCGCACTTCATTTTGCTCTTCCCTTTGCACCCACAGAATCCGTACACACCAACACTCTCCATCTGCAGGAGGGGAAGAAAAGAGTTGCACTCTAAACACTCTGCTTTTCGTCCTTGTGGCTCCTAAGTCGCTCACTCCTGCTGGCTGACAGTTTGGGGGCGCGGCAGGGGTGCTTGGCTCCTGGGGCAGGGTACCTGACACTCAGTCCCAGCCCCTCTGTTGTTGGCCTTGGGTGCTTAGTTCTGGGCCTCAGATGTTATCATCTGTAAGATAGAAAAAATGCCTCACTGTATCAAGTGGGAAGCGAGGGAATGGAAGTACCGTGAATGCAGGGAACTGTTACCTGAATATGTGGAGCTGTGGATGGGTGAGCGCTGCCCGAACCAGGAACCACACCAGGTCCTCATATGGAGCACAAGGCAGGCTGGATGAGGCAACCAGAGCACCCCAGAGCCCTTCTTGGCTTCCTCGACCCTGCTTATTATTCTCAGAAGGGGACATGGATGTAAAATGGCTCTCACAAACCTGTCAGTAAATGAGTTATGTACTCCCTCCTCTGGACCCCACACAGCATGAATAGGAAGCAGACCTCATCTACTTCTGGGCTTCCGGAAGCCCCGATAACAGTTGTGGGTACATGGTAGATACATGTGCAATAATTGTGTGTGGGGGGGGGGTGCAGGAGTCTAGCCCCCAGGACGTAAAGGATGTGGGTGGGTGCTATGCAAACCCTGGGCAGGGGAGCCATGCTTGTCCCTGAATTAATGATGAGTAAAGTCAAGTAAAAGGTGTGTGGTGGCAAAGAAAAAGAAATGCCTGGGATGAGTCATGAGACAGAAGCAAAAAGAAAACAATCTTAGCTTAAGGCAGAAAGGGAGAAACTACTTAGGCTGCTCTTAGTAACATTTAGTGGAGAGGGAGGGAGGGGAACCTCCTCCTTGCCGCCAGGCATTTACTGCTTTTAAGCTAAATACCTCTGCATATTAAGCAAATAGAGAAACACCAGCTAGAAGATGCCGTCCAATAGAACCACACTGAGCCTAGAAAGCCTGTAGGAGGTGTCGGGTTGACCCCTTTCCCCATCACATGCCTGGTCCCAGCCCTGCTGTTTAGCACGGTGGCTCCTCTCCAGCTGTGGGGCTTATTGAAAGCCTCTAGCCCCTGCCTGGTTTTGGCACATTTTCTGCAGGTCCCTCCTACTGTGGCCACAATGGACTGCCCGTCAACAACTCTGGGGAAGGGAGGCGGGCAATAGCTGAGGGAGCGCAGTCATTGTCTTAAAGGGCCAGTGGCACTGTGCGGCATTACGCGGGGCCTGCAGCTCGGGTAGCTGCTAATGAGATGAACCCTTTTCTCCCGACTTGCTCTTTCTCTCTTTAATGATTTAACTTGATCGCTTTGGTTCCTTTCTGGTAAGGGAATTGCTCCATTGATCATATAAAGCAATTGCCTGTAAAACACTACACCGTAGCAAGCACTCCTCTTCCCTGGCTGAAAATGTCACAGCAATTGGAAAGCTCTTAGCCCAGTTCAGGAACGAGGTGGCTGAAGAGAACTGTCTTTGCATGTAACCCCAAGTGCTCCTGTGTTACCAGAGTTTGGAGATGTGACTGATGAGGTTTAAGACGGGGAATTTCCCTCCTATGGCCTGCCATGGTTTTTGCATAAGACTCTGAGAGACTAACCAAACACATGAAGAAACAAAACCCGACTGTGCTTAACCTAAAACGAGATAGATGTCATCAGAGAACTATTTTCTTAACGATTTACAATATCCTTTTATTAGAATCCTGCATCCAAAGGACACCCCAGAGGTGCATCGTGGGTTGGGAGAGGGGACGGGACTCTCTGAGTGATAGCAGGGGGCCCCTGGTTTGGGACTGGAAGAATGAAAGCCCTGATTGTTAGGGTCTGAGGATGTTTCTGACTTGTCACTTGGCGGCAGCAGTGACACACCATGGGGACGGGACCACACACTTGAGGAGTTTTCAAAAACAGTTTTATTAAGTAAGCTTTGCCTTGCTGGGATGTGAGAGTAATTCACCTGGGGGGAGCCTGTTGTATGCATGAACCTCCCGGGTAATAAAGAGGAAACTTGTTAGTGATTGTTCTCTTTCCTCTGACAGACTGAAGGTCCAGGTCTGTAGACGAACAAGGGAGAAGCTTGCTTTCAGCATCACTGGCCAGAAAGAGCTGGTCCTGATGTTGTCTTCTGGGAACAGGCCACCCAGCACTGCCTGTTCCTCTGCTAAGGCTAAGGCAGTAGACACGCTCTTTACTGTACTTTTTCAAAAGGCAGAACCCTGAGGGCTTGCTGACAGAGTCCAGCCACCAGCCAGGACCCAGCGAAAGGTCACTGCACAGACACCCCAGCTGTAGACAGGCACCCCCACTATATATAAATACAGCGTATGTGTGATCTGAAATTTAAAGACTTGGGGGTTCACATTGTAAAATCTCATGTTGTTAGAACACACAGGACAGAAAATAAATCAGGAAATCATATGCACTACACCATATTATACCACACATATTAGAATACGTATTCCCCCTAATCTACTTATCCAAGGAGGAAAATGAAGGCGAGGGAGTGTTCTTTAAAGTTGGGCCTATCAAGGAAACGTGATCGTTGACTATGAAGAATTGGGTTGGGAGCCATTAAATGAACCTTAAAGTTTATTTATATTTAAAAAGCATTTTAGAGCTGGGTGTGCACCTTAAATCTCAGCACTTAAGAGGAAAAGATAGGAGGGTGGATCTCTGTGAGTTGGAGGCCGGCTTCACACAGTGAGTTCCAGCCCAGCTAGAAGGACATGGTTTGTCAGTAAAATTAATTAGATATATAATGAGATGATTAATATAGAACTAGATAAAATATGCATATGCTCAGAAGTTCTGTCTGGCTCTAAGATTTTTATCTCAGTCACACAGTTCCTTCCTGCAGCTCTGCCCACCCATCAGCGGTCTGGACGGGAAAGGAGGTTGAGGCTAGCCCTTGAGGTCAAGAGCAGGAAACCACGAATCCCCATAATCAAAGAATAGGACAGAATGCAGGCTCATGGCTGTGATGACACTGGAGGCTTGGCTGTCCAGGTGGGAGGGAGCAGGGTAGGGGGTGGGAAGAGCCAGCCTGCCGGTGTTCAGGCTACCTGTGTCCTCTGTATGTGTGGGTATATGCTGTGTGTGTGTATATATATGTGAGTATGTGTGTCTTTGTATGTGAGTGTGTATGTATGTGAGTGTGTGTGTCTGTATGTGTGTCTGTGTGAGTGTGTATGTGTATACGTGTGTGGGTGTGGATGTGAGTGTGTGTGTCTGTGTGAGTGTGGATGTGAGTGTGTATATGTGTGTGTATGTGTGTGGGGTGTGTGTGATGTGGCTATACCATGTTCCAGGAGGGGATAAAAAGGACTATCTGATACAGGTCAAAACAAGCCAAAGGAACTAATGTCAAATCTGCCAGGAGTCACAGGCCTGCAGCCATCTCTTCCATGTCCCCTCCGCTCTAAACGAGATGCCCGAGGTCTGACAGGAATCCCAGAGTCCACACCAAGCTGCTTTACCGCTTACTCCTAATGGGGATCTTTCTGGTGTGTTTTAAATGACCTGACTCACGAGGTATAAATTAACCTTTGGCTAAGTACATCCGAGCTTCACAGTCAGCAAACTTTGTGAAGCTGCTAGGCATGTGCCTAGAGCTCATAAATGCATTTTAAAACATCACCTTGTTCTGACACGCATGCTCATCTAATAAGGTAAAAGCACACAGTGATGAGACCCACAGCACAGGCTCATCTGAAGCTAATTTGGGTAGTTATTCCTAGAATTAAAACCCAGACTCGTGGTGAAAGCCACAGACAGCTCAGCCTGAGCCTTTTCATTTACTTATAAACTCACACATTTGTGTTTGTTACTGACATGTATCTCAGTCACTAGGAATTACCAAAAAAATGTGGTCAGATTCCTTCTACTCATTCAAAGGCAACCTCAGGCCGATGGGTATGGCACCTGCTGCAGTGGGGGTTCAGCATCTGAGGTCGTGTGTCTTCCAGTTAGAAAGCGATGCTGCTTGACCTTCACAGCACCCAAACCAGTGCAGAATCACAGGCGAAGGGAAGAAAGGCCTTGATGGAAGGCAGGAGAGAATGCTCAGTGAACATTTCAACCACAGTGTGGATGGTGAAGTCAGATGTGACTGCGGCCACAGGAGCCGACTTCAGTCATTCCGACGGAAGTCTTTTCTGCGGTTTCCCTTCTTCTGGAAGTCAGAAAGCCTGACGAACCCCAGAAGTTTCCTGTTCTGTCCTTTTCTTTCCAGAAAAGGATACAAATCCCAGCCTCCTTCCTCCAGTGATATGATGTGGGATTTCCCTCTGTATGCCGTGAATACCATTGGTTAATAAAGAAACTGTCTTGGGAATGCACAGGGAATAGAGGTAGGCTGTAAATACCACTGATTAATAAAGAAATCAGTGTTTGGGGCCTGCACAGGGACTAGAGGTAGGCAGGCGGGCGGGGGTAGGGGGGAACTAAACTGAACGCTGGGAGGAAAAAGGCAGAGTCAGGGAGAAGCCACGTAGCCCCAAGGGACAGATCCGGGAACTTTGCTGGGTAAGCAACAGCCATGGGCCAATACACAGATTAATAGGGATGGGTTAAATTAAGATGTACATATTAGCCAATAAAAAATTAGAGTTAATGGGTCAAGCAGTGATTTAAATAATATAGTTTCTGTGTGACTATTTCTGGAATCTGCTAATGGGCCAAGTAGTGATTTCAATAATATAGTTTCTGAGAGATTATTTCTGAAATCTTGGCGGCCGGGTAACGAACAAGTGGCCTCCCTCAATAATGATATTCTTCCAGAGTCACAGATTATTTTAAATATCCGATTGAAACCGACACACACCTGTGGTTATCAACACCAGTGTCCTGAATCCCTGGGATGACTTACAAATGCCTACCACAAGCTACAGGTGACACAGGGTGACGCGAGGGGTAAAAATCCTTGTACACAGTTAGGACGGTGTGTCCGTCATACATCAAACATAGGACAGACCAA